AATCCTGGAACATCATCAGTGTGCCTCTAATAACAGCTACCTGAGTGGAGAGTCTGTAAAGGTTCTTCATGCTTGTACGTGACCTGGAATAGAAATGCTGAGAAGAAACTGTGGAGTACGTGGGCACTTTCTATAAGTGGTTTTGGTCAGCTACCCATGTGGCCAAGAGGTAGTTTGTTTTTTACTGGTTGGTAGAGGGATTTAAAAAGTGTGTCATTTTCAGCCCAGCTTCAGTGCTCTGTGGGTGGAGCTCCTTGACTCATCACTCAAGGTGACTGGTGAATGGCCTGGAGACACGTCTGCATCTTCCAGTTACAGAATCTGGAGTTTGCAGAGACAACGGCATCTGGGCCTGTGAGGAGAAAAGAGTGACATTCCCATGTGATCTTTGGGACCCCTACCCCGCTGTAGCTGCGACTTATCCTGCAGGAAAGCCTCCATTTTACAAGAACTTAGTGGAGCTGAGCTGAAATAAATTGAGTCTACTTTCCCCCCTGAGATTTGGGGAGAACAGTTTATATTTTATTCTTGCTAAATCTTTTTAAAGTAAATATCTCTTTGTAAAAGCTATCTGATACAAAATAGTTAAGTGGAACTGGGTGCTAATAGGCAACTAACAATAGGAAGTAATACACTCAACCAACCTCTCAGCTCGTCCTAGACCTCTGAGGCACAGATGTGGCTGGGTAGGCCCAGGGATAGAGAGAACAAGGCATACTCACTAGAGTAGGGGAAACAGCAACAACAGCAAAAGATCAGAGAAGAGATAGAACCTCTGCTTGGTGTAGGAAGAACAAGCACAGGGCACAAAACAAACTGCCCAATTCTGATTTTGATTACATTGTCCCTGGGGAAACTTTGCTCTCCCTGACAATGAAAGAACACAAATGGCTAAGAGGGTGTTGATACTGAAGCTGAGAATGGGAACACAGAGTTGCCAATCACTTGTCTCAGACAAACTACATCCTTGGATATGTACAAAAAGAACTGGCAGATGTGATTGCTGAACAACTGTAATATTTATAAGATTGTGGAAAATGATAAAGGTATCACAAGATTAAGGACAGAGACTAGGCCTGTGATTTCACTGATAAAAGGGATTCCCAGATGAGGAAATTGTCTACCAACACAAGTTGGCATCTTCTCTGTATCTTAGTCTCAGCAAGTTGCCTGGAGCACTGGGAGATTAAATGACTTGTCCAGAGTCACAGAACTGTTACTGTTACATGCCAGAGGGCAGATTTTAAATCCCTCATCTTGCTGGCTTTCAGGCCAGCTCTCAATCCTTTGCCAGAGCTACCTTCAGATGAGAAAAGAGCAAATGTTCTCTCAATTTCAAAAGCAATCTTAGTCTGCACTGAGAGAGGAAGAGTAATAATTCCTCTGTACTATATCCTGGTCACATTATATCTAGGGTATTATAGTCAGTGCAGAGTGACAATAACAATACTAGCTACTAGCATTCCTATACCTACTTTAGAATGTGTTACAAATATTATCTCATTTTTTTTCCTCCTAACTATGGGAGGTACGTACTCTCTCCATTTTACAGATGATGAAACTGAAAAATTTCCTCTATATTTAGATTAAGTGATTTGTTCAGGGTTAACATAACCAGTAGGCGTCCGAGGCTACATCTAAACTCAGTTCTTCCTGACTCCAGGTCCAACTTCTTAATGAAGAGTCTTAAGTCCACATCACATTACAATTTCTTGGAGTGTAAACTCTGAAAATAAATGACCAAAGGGTCACAGAGGTTATGCAACCTCTGTTAACCCTGAAAATACCAGAGCTCACACAGGTTATCACTACAGTTAACTCTAAGAAATAAAATAAAATCAAAATAAAACCAAAGAGTTAACGGTGGCCATAAGCAAAAAGTATTCTTTATTCTGCCGGAGGAAAACTAGATACACGTGCCAAGGCCTTGTCTAGGAGGAGTTGGTCTTCAGTGAGGCCAAATCTTGAAACATATAGCAGTGTTTATCACGAATTCCACTAAGGCACTGTAGAACTAGGAAGAAGTGAGAGCACGTGTCCACAGATGCAAACCTTTTTATTCCCTATTCCCTATTTGAATTTCCTTCCTGTTTCCCCATTGGCTGGGTACTATAGAGGTTACAGTCTATCCAAAGTGCCTAATTTCCCCACATGAGTCTCCACCCCTAATTACATCTCCCACTCCCTACAATTCTGGACCCCAGCTCTATTTGGTAACATCCCTTTTGATGTTAATCTATACCTAACCTCAGAACTGCTTCAGTTAGTCTATTCACCACCAATGTTTTCTTATTCTAATATGGCTTCCTTTGTTCAACTTCTACTCAGGTTCCTAGCCTTAGGTTCCAAGTGACTTTTGTGGAAATTAAAAAAAAAAAACTAGCTATTTCTAACATTCCCTCCTAGTTTAAACTGACTCCAAAGCTGTCACATAGGCATTCAACCCCTGACTGATATGCAGAAGCAACATCCCCAACCATATTTTCCAGTGGCTACACGGTAGCCATGGCAATGAGGGGCTAATAGCAACATTGAGACAAGTTTAATTCATAGCTGGGCTTCATGACCAGAACACAGTTCCGGAAGGTGTTTGTCTAAGCTCAGGGACTGATGGGGTGAGGGGAACTGGACCCCTAAAAGAAAAGGACTATGTCTTTGAAAGCAACCCAGTCCCTGAATTTTCTCACACATTACAGCAGCCCAGATTACAGGTGTCTCACTCAAGGCATCTGGCCCTCCCCAGCCCACACAGACACTTGACAGTCCCTTCACAGCAGCTCTTGATTGATCTCGGACCACTTAATATTCCTTTCACTGTTGCATGGGGGTAGCTTGGGAAGGCACCAATGATTTATCACTCTTTAATACTATCCAGATCATTGTTCCTTTTTTGTATATATCAGTCTCACCCCCATCAAGTCGCAGATTCACTAGGAATCTCACCCTCGCTATTCAGTTACAATAAACCTTACCACTTGGACTGGAAGAAGGCTTGAGTGCATGAATTCATTCCAGGTGGACACTGCCCTGTAGCCTGACATTTCAGGGTTTCCAGCAACACCAAACCACATCAGGACCACCTGGGGCTGGTGCAGAAACAATTCTGGGATTTTGCTGTGGCAAAGTTCATCCAGAAGGTGAGCAAAAAGGATACTGTTATGCCAAGCCTAGGGCACAGTTTGCTTGCTGGGCCTTAGCTCTGAAAAAAAGGGCTGTCTCCTAATAGTAAAAAGAGGAGTAAAAAGAGAAGGGTGGTCTTGGCATGGGGATTCTGTTTTTAATTTTTTTTTCTTTTTAGGCAATTGGGGTTAAGTGACTTGCCCAGAGTCACACAGCTAAGTGTTAAGTGTTTGGTCTGAGGCCAGATTTGAACTCAGGTCCTCCTAACTTCAGGGCCAGTGCTCTATCCACTGTGCCACCCTGGCTGCCCCAATGAAATCTTCTTTTTTTTTTTTTTAGGTGAGGCAATTAGGGTTAAGTGACTTGCCCAGGGTCACACAGCTAGTTAGTGTCTGAGGACACATTTGAACTCAGGTCCTCCTGATTCCAAGGCCAGTGCTCTATCCACTGTGCCACCAAGCTGCCTTGGCATGGGGATTCTGACAGAAGGAACCAGGGATTTTTACCCTGAAGCAGATAAGATTTTGGTGAGTGGTGGCAAGATAAGAATTTCATGTTGAAAAATGATCACATTTGATCTGTCTGGCCCCAGATGGCAGAAGTAGGAATAAGAATGCAAGTGGTAAAGAGAATTTAATCTTAACATGAAGAAAAATATCCAGTTATGTAGAACTCAGCAAATGTGGAATGGGATATCTGGAGAGGTGTTAAGTTTCCACTTCCTGAAGGTCTTCAAGCAGAATTGGGTATTTCTGGTATAAGAAGGACTAGACAGAAACCGAGGTCCCATTAAACTAAAAATCCTGTGACTCTAAGCGACTGTAAGCTATAATATGTGAAGTGTGTAATATGTATAAAAAAGAGGTCCCAGCAAAATGCTACAAGAATTTTCATTTTAGCAGGTACAGAACAAGGAGGCTTTCAAGGCAGAGGTGGTACCTGAGTTTAGTCTTGAAGAGGGAGAGATTAGTAGAGAATGGCAAATCCATTTCAGATACAGGAGATGGTACGGCTAAAGGTACACAGCAGGCTCTTAATAAATGTTGATTGCTTTAAGGTTTTCAAAGCACTTTACTGGTGTTAACTCATCTGTTCCTTATTTTTCCCATTTTATTGATAAGGAAAGTGAGAAAAAGAGAGATAAGTGACTTTCCCAGAGATACAAAGCTAGGCAGCACTTGAACTGATGTCTTTCTGACTCCAAGAATGTGCTCTATCCACAGCAAGCTGCCTCACATGACTTCTTCCTGAAAAGTACAAAAGCCTCACAGGTTCAGAGACTTAGAGCTGACAGGGACTTTAGCAGTCACCGAGGTTCTCATTTAACAGATGAAAAAACTAAGGCACGGAGGTTAAACGCGTCCAAGTTCACACAGCTAAGGCGTGAGGTGGCTTTGAACCTTCCTGACCTAACTCCGTGTCCGGCACGCTATCTAAAAGGATATCTAGTTACCTCAAACGCTTTCTCGGGTCTTGGTTTCCTAATATGCAAAACGAAGAGTCCAGACTACAAGAGCTCTAAGTAGGCTTGCAGACTCATTGAAACTCCACTGCAGAATATTTGAAGAACTTCCGGGACAGGAGCAACCTAATAGCGTTGCGCATGCGTAAAGAGCCAGTCCCGCCCACGGGTAAAGGGAGATTTAACGAAGCCCTCCACACTCTCCACTTTTTAATTAAGCCAGAACTCCCTCTTTCCACCTACATCCCCCCGAGTCTCAGAAACCTACGGTGTGTTCGAAAAGACAAATTAAGCCACTTTTTGGTCACAATCACAGCCAACACAAGGCCCCGAAAAACCCTTTATAAAGAAGCGCCGTGCGCTAGTCCGCGAGGATCTCGCGAGAAGATGCTCCAGTTCTCGCGTCGTCTTCGCTGAGACTGCGTTTTCGTCGACGTCTGGGAGCCGCCCTCGGTGCCAGTCACCTCTGCTTCCCCCGCAGGGTGGCGGCGCTTTGTGGGGAGATGGCTGCGCCAGAGCAGGTCCCGCTGTCGCGGGGCTGCCAGGGCTCCTCAACGCCGCCGCTGCCGCGGGCCAACAGGACCCTCCTGGTGCGCCACTTGCCGGCCGAGCTGACTGCCGAGGAGAAGGAGCATCTCCTGAAGCACTTCGGTGCCCAGGTCGTGCGGGTCCTGTCCGACAAGGGCCGCTTGGTAAGGAGGGCCAGCGCGGGCAGCCCCAGAGGTCTCGCAGGTCCCGATCCAAGTCTGACGGAGGTGCGGTGAGGACAAGGCATGGTTAGGGCGGGGTGAGGGAAGCGGAGAGGCCCTATTTGGAGGCCCGCTGGCCTTGCCCTGGTCCTAACCTGGATAATTGTGCCGGAGACAGCGGAGAATCCGTGTACCTCGGAACCAGTGAATACGTCCCCGGAACCTGGGGCTAAAAAGAAGCTTTGAGATCATCTGGACCAGACCCAGAGAGGAAGCTAGGGGTGGTGGGGGTGGGGGTGGAGGAAGGGCGACAAGCGAAATGACACTTGGCAAGTTTTTTAATCTCTCCTAGCCTTGGTTTCGTCTGCTTTAAAAAGGGGAGAAATAAATATACCTGCTGAAGTCCCTAGCCCACGGGTTTTTTGAGAGGCTCTAATGAAGAAATGCATTAATTAGCAAGTTAAGAATTAGAGCCTGAATTATTAGAACGCAGGTGCTCTCGCTCTCTGTGCAGCACCGAAATGACTAAGCTGTTTATTTTTACTGTTCCATCCCTTCATCTCTCCCTTGTAATCCCTTGGCTTTGCTGAATTGGAAATTTTGATGCCGGAAACGGTGATGGTGAAGTGGAAAGCGCATCGGTTTGGGGGTCAGAGGACCTAAGCTGAATTCCATAACATTTCACATACATTATCTCATTTAAACTTTATAGCAACGCTGTGAGGTAGAACTTTTAATCCATGCCTCGGTCCCAAAAGCAGCTATACCTTAGCTCTGTACCCTGCAACCTGTATTGGGAGTCAGAAGAATCTTGGCTTTGCTACTTGTTAAGTAATGAGGTGAACCTTGGGCAAGCCCCTGCCTCTCTTTACCTGTTTTCTCATCTGTCAAATGAAGGATTCTAAAGGGGTTCTAACTTCCAGTTTTTAGATCTCATAATCCAATGAAATGCTCCTCATTTCCTTTCTCATAGAAGGTCCAAGGTGTTCTTTGATAATGGTGGGACAAATAATTTCTAAGTAACAGAGCTAGATTTTACCCCATGTCTTCTCCAACTTTAAATCTAGTGCTTTCTCTACTAGACCACACTCCTTATGTGATTCGATGACTTATATGCCAGTGTGATGTTTTCCATATAAGTAATATATATATATATATATAATATTTACATGAGTAATATATATTACAAAAGTGATATACATAGAGAGAGATTTCTAAATTCAACTGAAGTACTTCAGTTGAAACTCATTTAAATTATATTAGGCTGATCTGTGTTGTTTAAAAATGCAAAACTTCATTTTGAGATAAGCAAAGACAAGATCTTGGTTCATCTGGCTTAATAACACAGTAACTTGATATTTGCTGCTTTTTATATTTTCTATCCTTTTAAGCTATACTTTTTAGAATAGAATTTTCCCATGAAGACAGGCAAAAGGGATATATTTAAGTAATAACAGAAGGAATGATTTTCCCACTAATGAAAACTGTTATGCATTGCCTTGGAAATTATAAAAGTTAAGAGGGACATTAAAATACTATGGGTTTTTATTTATTTGGTGTAGTTTAGTAGATGATCCTCTCAGATTTCCCTGCATTTGATGATTTTGTGTCTTTTAGCCATGAATGTAACTCTTGCTTTTGAGTATACTTTGTTGCTATTCAAAGTTATGTATATTATGATTATCTTTCAGAAACATACTGCTTTTGCTACTTTCCCTAATGAAAAAGCAGCGATAAAGGTATGTGATATTTTTGACACTAAACATTTTATCTCTACTTTTTTTTTTATCAAATTTGAACTACAGGGCTGAGGCCTATTCACATATACTCTTGACTTTCTTTATGCTACACTTTCATTCCTTCGCACTTTCAGCCTCCCTAAGGGCATAGAAGTGCCCACTGGGCATACCTAATAATAAACATTTTCAAGTAGTTACTCTATTTGAAGTGCAAAAGCTGAACTATTTCAGCAGATATTTAAATTGAACTGAAAAAAAGTTGCTAGACCTTGCATGTGTTCACTGAGGCTCCTGAACAAGAACAAAAAAAAAGAACAAGTTGGAACATTTTTCAGTGCCTTTTCTTTCCCAGAAGGTTTTGTGGTCCTGAAATTGTAAATTGTGTAGTAGATCTGATTGTGGTGATTCATGTTGCCCAAGGTAGAAGGTTTTATCTGTTAATTAGGAAGATTGAATGGAAACCAGAATTTGAACTAAAGTTGAGCTTTGTACCTGTAATGTGCATGTGACTTATGCTTCTGTTATATATGCCACTATTAAGTATATAGTAGATGCTAGGCTCTGTACTAAGCACTAGAGATACAAAGAAAAACATCAGCAACAATCCTCTGCTTTCAAGGAACCAGTAGTCTAGTTGGGGAGACACAACATGGACACAGCTAAGCATAAGTAAAATATATAAGGTGGTTTTGAGAGGAAGATATTAACAGCTGGCAACATTGGAAAAGACCTCACGTAGAAAGTACACTTGAACTGAGCTTGGAGAAAATGAGAGATTTTAAGAAACCAGGGTGAGGTAATAGGCTTAGTAGTAGTTATGATATAAAGTTAGTGTGCTTCAGGTAGTGAATTTGGTAGTGGCAGTTCTAGCCAACCCACATAGTTACCCAGTAAATGTTTCTTGACTTTAGTATCATTGATGGTATTTTGTAGTTTTACCACTAAAAATAAAAGCTAAATATGTAAGTAATTCTTGACAAAGCAACCACATGGATAAAACAAATCATTATTTAAAATTGAATTTAAATAACTGGTATTTTCACTAATGTTGAAATGTATTTTTCTTAATTTTAGTTATATTTTCTTAATTTCTTAAATATTTGAATAATAGATTTTTCTCTCATCTCTGTTACTATCTTAAAAACTTTTTTTTTTCCAAATGACCACATACTTAAAATTTTGTTCTGTTTTCAAAAATTATGACTTGTGAACTTAGAAGGTGGAGCATTTGGGATGGAGAACAGTAATTGAAAATGTGTTGCTAATAAGTGAATTTTAAATGTTTGCTACATTTATCAAATTTAGCTTTTTTGTTTTGTGTCATTTAAAGGCTTTATCAAGACTGCATCAGCTGAAAGTTTTAGGTCACACGTTAGTTGTTGAATTTGCAAAAGAGCAAGACCAAGCTTCCTCCTTCTGTCAGACTTCGTATTCAGAGAAAAAGAAAAGGTATGTGGTTATTAGGTTTGTTTGTTTTTTTCCTCACGTTTTTAGAGCTTAGGAAATTATGTTTTTGGTGGGGAAAAGTTGCTGAGTAAAGCTTATAGCTATTGAAGCCAGTAAGTAAAGCGAACTCATTTTTATGGGATATTATGCTAATGAACACATTTAGAAATATATTATTACAGTTCAAACATTTACTTGACAGATTTGAGGTGCAGCACTGAAGGAAAAGGGAATTTGCTTTTAATAACCTCATTTTGGGGGAAGGAGTTAAGTTGAGGTCCTCTTTTAGAGGGAGATGGGAGGAGTGGTGTTTGGTCTTTGGAGAAAAGAAGAGTGGGTTTGAAATAGCTGCTGTGGAGAGTGCTATTGGGAATTGACCAGGGAAGAATAAAAGGATTTCTGTGTATCAGTGAGGGTCTTGTTCAGGGTAAATAGTGAATATATGTAGTAGGCTGAGTCGTCCCAGCTGTGTGATTTCCCTCAATGTTAGATTCCTTGGAGAGAGAAAGAAGTCTCCACTTCTGCTGCACAGGAGTATGTAGTTGTGGGATGTGGGGGTGAGGAAAGGAAAGAGAAATAAATGATCCTAGCACAGGATTTCAGGCAGCCCACAAAAAATGAATCCTTTGGCAGGCTGTTTGTTGTGCAGGCCTGTCCTAGTGTCCCGAGTTGAAACTCTGAATGAATTTTTCCTATAGAAACATTGTTACACATTATGGCTAGTTTCCTGTTTTGCCACTGAATTCTGGGTGATTTTTGTATGTTGGCTTAGAAACTTAACATTGTTGATAACTGTATAGGAAGTACAGCAGAAATCGAACAATGAAGTTACAAACAAACTTTATATCAAAACTTATTTATAAGTTAGGGGCTTCCTATAATGGCATTCACTGAAAAATATTTGACCTGGAATCCTGGCATTAAAGGGGACCATAAAGGTGATTGATTTTTGGTGATTAATTTTTCTAGAAATAAGGAAACTGAAAATAAAAAAGATTAAGTTACTTGATCAAATTTTCATGAGTAGTAAGTAGTAGAGCTGGAATTTTAGTGATTTTATTTTCATCTCTTTCCATTCTGTAATCAACTCTCAAACCTCTAGCCTATATGTTCATTGCTGCTTGTCTCTTGCCAAACACCGGTCCTGGATTTGTCTCCATCATCTGCCTTATCCACTCTTGGGCACATTCTGTTGACTAGAGCTCCAGGGCATTACTGAGAACCTGATAAATTCATGGTTTCCAACTCTGATTGGGCCCTGTACCTTATAAATTCATGGTTTACAACTTTAATTGGGCTCTCACTGCAGCGGTCAATCCATTCTTCCCTGATTTTCTACTTGTCTTACTCCAATACAATCTATGCCAAATTTTCTCATAGTTTCCCAGTCTCTCACACCTTCACCTCCACTGCCAGCCTTTAATCTCTTAGCTGAAGATTTCATGTCTTACCTTACTGATAAAACTAAGACCATTCAACATGAGCTCTCTCTTCTCCCCTTCTCTTCATTTTAGAACCCCTTGACCTCATCCCTCACCCTCTGCTCATTTTCTTTAGTCTTTGATTATGAAATGGCTCTTCTAGCCAAGGCAAGTCCCTCTATATTTGCTCTTGATCCCATCTAATCTCTGGAAAATGACACCCTCAATAACCTCATTGTCTAATCTTCAGCCTCTCCCTACCTACAGGTTACTTCCCTACTACTTTTAAACATGGCTACGTCTTTACCATCCTGAAAAAATTGCTGTACCCTAAGAGCCTTCTCAAGCTGTCATCCTGTATCTTTTTCTAGCCAGACTCTTTAAAAAAAAAAAAGCTGTCTACACTCATTACTTCTATTTTCTCTCTTCTCATTCTCTCAGCCCATTGCAGTTTTGCTTCTCATTTCGTCATTCAACTGCAACTGCTTTCTCCAAAGCTTCCAGTGATCTCGGGATTTTTGAATGTGACTGCCTTTTGTCAGTCTTCATCCTTCTTGACTTGTCTGATGATTTTGACACCACTAACTTTTCCTCTGGGACATTCTTCTCTGAGTTCTCTTGATAACCATTCTTTCTTTCTTTTCTCCTACCTGTCAAATTACTCCTTTATTTACTGGATCATTATCCATATCGTGCCTCCTAACTGTAGCTATATCCTAAGGCTCTATCCTAGGCCCTTTTCTTTATCTTTACTCTCTCTCTTTCTTGACGACTTCATTATCACCCATGGATTTAACGTCTCCCTGCAGATGATTGACAGATCTATGTGTCCAGTCCTGTTTTCTCCCCTGAGCTTCAGTCCTATATCAACTGCTAATCAGATATTTCAAAATGAATATCCTGTAGATATCTCAAACTCATTATGTTTAAAATAGAACTTCTATCTTTTCCTCAAAACCACTCAGTGTCTCTGGTCTGTAACACATCTAATAGATATATCTAGACTCCTCAGTGATGCCATATTTTGCTGTTGCTGCCTCCATAACATTTCTTGCCTCTTACCCTTTCTCTATTCATATAGCTACTACCCTTACTTCAGGCCCTTATTACCTTCACTTAGATTTTTGCAATGGTTTCCTCATTAGTCTCCCTACCAATGTTTCTCACATTGTGATTTTTTTTTTCATCGTAAGTGCTAATCTGACCATGCCACATCTATTCAATAAACAACACTGGCTATCTATTGTTTTTGGAATAAAATATAAACTCCTTTGTTTCATTTTAAAAATGTTTCATGTTTAAAATGTGAAGGCACAGACTGCAGCTTATCTTTTTAGATTTGTTATATGCTACTGCCCTTTCCACATTCCAAGAGCCAACCAAACTGGCCTTATCTCTGCTCCACAGCATTTGCTCTCTAGTCTGAGACTTTATACTGACTGTCCTCCAGAGTTATTACATCCTCCATCCTTGCCTCCATTTCATAGAATCCCTCTCTTGCTTCAGTACTCAATTCAAGTACCACCTTCTACGTGAAGCCTTTCCTAAACTTTCCAATTGCTAGTGCCCTCTCTCCTGAATTACCTTATGTTTATTAGTTGTGTCTATCTATCTCTCTATCTATTCTTACATATTGTTTCCACTATTTAAAACAAAAGCTCTTTGAGAGGAGAGATTTTTTTATTTATATTCTCAGTTTCTAATACATAGCATCCCAGTGCCTTAAGCACTCATTACATCTTACTTAATTTGTTAAGATACTAGATTAGTTTGCCATTTCCTTCTCCAACTCATTTTACAGATGAGGAACTGAGACAGACTGGGTTAAATGACTTCTCCAGGATCACACAGCTGCTGAGTATCTGAGGCTAGATTTGAACTCAGGAAGATGAGTCTTCCTGACCCTAGGCTTGGTATTCTATCTACTTTGTCACCTAGCCGTCCCAACTTAATACCTAATAGTAATAGTTAGCATTTATATAGTCTTTTAAGGTTTGGGAAGCATGTCACACTTTTTTCTTATTCCTTACGACAATCCTATAAGGTAGGTGCTATTATTATTTCCATTTCACATGTGACAGATTTGAGGAAGAGAAGAGGTAGATGATTGGCCCAGGTTTGCATATCAGCCAAGCCCAGTGTTGTGTCAACTGTGCTGCCTAGCCTAAGAGCCCAGATCTTCTTACTACTACATTGTAAGCTAATAGTTGTTTAAAAATCTTAAGGACAGCTATAATTTACTTAGCTTTTGTATCTTCTGCAGCATCTAGCACAGTACACTTTTGTTTATTAGATGAATTAACCTCATGTATCGCAATTTACTGCTGCATATATTTTCTTGATAAAATTTTAAAAGACCAATTTTGATCTTTTATTTTTTAGGTCTGATGAACCTGTAGAAGAAGATAAAGAAAAAAAAGAACCAAGTTGTTTGACCATAGAAAATGGAATTGCACCAAATCATGGGTTAGCATTCTTCTTTTTTCTTTTTTTTTTAAATAGTTTTGTTCTTTATATGAGATTTAATGAAAGTAAGATAGTTTGGAAGTTAGAGATTATACTTCAGTGCTTTGTAACACATCTAATGGATATGTCTGTAATGAGTATATTTTAAAAGTACATTGATTGCTGTAATAATTGAAGAAATGTAAATTAAAATAACTGATACCACCTCACATCCATCAGATTGGCAAAGTTGATATAAAATGAAAATGACAAATAATGAAGAAGATGTGGAAAAACTGGTACATTAATGTTTTGCTGATAGAGTTCTGAACTGGTCCATTTTTTCTGTAAAGCAGTTTGGAACCACACCTCAAAAGCAAATAATCTATGCATATACTTTGTGCCAGTGATACCACTACTAGGTCTATACCCCAAAGAGAGCAAAGAAAGAGGAAAAGGACTTGTGTAATAAGAATATTTATAGTAATTCTTTTTTGTGTTGACAAAGAATTGGAATCTGAGGGGGGTGCCTATCAGTTGGGAATTGGCTGAACAAGTTATAGTGTATGCGTGTGATAAAATATTTTTTGCACAGGAAAAAAAAGAATTGAAGGAAACAGTTTCAGAAAAACCTAGGAAAACTTATATGAACTGATGCAAAGTGAAGTGAGCAAAACCAAGAGAGCAGTTTATGCAGTAACTGTATTGTAAAGCTAGACAACTTTGCAAAACTTAAGAGCTCTGATCAACACAGTGATTAACCGCATTCCAAGGACTCATAAAGAAACATGCTTTCTACCTCCAAAGAGAGAGTTAATGGTCTTAGAGTACAGATCGAAACATTTTTTCTTTTTTTCCTTTTCCTTTTTTTTTTTTGACTCTCCTGGTTTTTAATTGGTTTTATTTTTCTTGCTTTAATAGCTGACAAAGGGAGAAGTGGGGGAAAAAGAATTCAGAACTGAAAACAAAATATAATTGAATTTAAAAATTGATTGAACTTTGTGAGTAGCCAACTTAATTAACATTGAATTTTTTAAAGTAAATATCCACTAAAACAATTACTATGTTACTGTAGAGGAAGTGGTAGGATTTTGCTGTTGTTTTAAAATTAAATCAAGGTATTAAGAAAAGAAATATATTTTTGAAATATTCCACTTTGTTGGCTCAAAAATAGGCTGAATTTTTGAATAAATTTACTTGGGAAAATAAACAAAATTGCCAAATTTTATATAATAATAACTATGTAGTGTTTTAATTTTGCGAAGCACTTAGCAACAGCCTGTAAGGTGAGTAATATGAGCATTCCTAGCCACAGCATTCCATATTACATTCTAAAATGATCAGAACAAATCTCACTTCACCACTGAGTTAGTATGTCTGTTTTCTCAACCCTTTTAATGTTGAATTTTTTTTCCTTTTATTTTTACCAATTTGATAATGGCAATACCATGAGTTGTTTTAATGAATTTTTCTCTGTTTATTAGTGATTTTGAACATTTTCAAATGGATGTTTATTTTATTTTTCTAAAATGGCCTATTTCATCATTTGTTGAGGAAAAGCCTTGAATAACTTTGTTTTCAATTTTTTTGGGGGGGGCAGATGTGTTAGTAGTATTGTATAATTTACATTAAAATTTGACAAGAATTTAATTTTCTTTTTGTAGGCTAACTTTTCCTTTAAATTCGTGCCTCAAATACCTGTATCCACCACCTTCAAGCACAATATTAGCCAACATAGCAAGTGCCTTGGCAAGCGTGCCTAAGTTCTATGTACAGGCAAGTGGAGGAAATTTATACTTTTGAAATTGAATGCCAATTTTGCATGCTGCTATTTAATGCAGCCTGTAATGACATCGTGTAACGTAAATCCTTAATAATCTAAGAATTAAGGGGCTGCAAGAATAATGAGTCAGCAGTATGAAATGGCAGCCCAGAAAGCTTAATTCAGTCTGATGCGTTGAAATACAGGTATACTAGACCAGGGAAGTTGATAGTGTCGCAGTACTCTGCCCTTATCAGACCACATCTGGAGATTTGGTTCTGGCCACCACATTTTGAGAAGTCCATTGATAACCTGGAGATTGGAGAGCTTCAGGAACATACCATGGGAAAATCAGTTGAAGGAGCTAAGAACTTACAGCCTAGAAAAGACTTGAAATGGTAGACATGATGGCTATTTCCAGTTATGTAAAAGGTTGTCACATGGTAAAAAATAGACTGCTAATGATGGTCCCAGAGGCAGAACTGAAAATAATGAGTAGAAGTTGGAGAAAAGCCAACTTAGGTTTGAAATGGGGGGAAAAACAATTCCTTACCTGTTAGCACTATCTAAAGATAGAAAATATTGCCCTAGAGGTACTGAGTTGCCTTTCAAAGAATTTTTTCTATCTTTTTTTCCTTATGCACAATTTCATTACTATATTTGAATTGCCTTAAATTTGGAATTAATTTTAATATATCAGTTATTCCTTTATGAGAGAAATGATTATTAAATAACCATTTGTTAATATTGGAAAGATCCAGGATTTTTTCTCTTCCTATTTCATCATTTGGAGATTAGGTCAAAGCTTAATTTCTCTGAATGGCAGTGCTAATGATGAAATGAAATCTTGGGCTAGACTTACCCAAGGGGGAAAGCTTAGATCTGATTAGAAGGTAAAGAGTTTCTAGTCTAGGTGAATTTTGCCCCATTGTGGTCTAGACAGGTCTGAGTAGAGGTGGACCTCCTTTGTCTAGATTGCCCTGGGTGAGAGGGTGATCTGGGTAGAGATAAGTCTCTTTGTTCAAGACTGAGTGATCAGAGTCATGTCTCCCAGTCCCTCATTAGAATAAGCTCACCTCTCATTATAATATTCCTTCCTTATTTGCTAACCAATCAGTGTTGATTTCCACCGTCAGGTGCACCCTCTTACCAAAAGCTTTATAAAATTTCAAGAAACTCTATGATGTGTCGTTTTTTAGTCACCAGGAGGAAGAAGTGGCCTCATTTTATGGATTATCTGTTAGCTGTAATTAATGAAATCAGTTATAATTTACCCAAAAATTCTGTCTCTTAGAAATTTTCACGTACCACATTGAAAATAGCAGTAATATTTAATGTGGGACTGTAAGGTGTTGGGTTTTATTATCTTGATTATGATTTTTTTTCTTAAAAAACATTTTCTGCCATAAATTCATAAAGCAGTGTTATCTAATTTTAATTTGCCTACTATTTTACACTCCTTTAAAAAATAATACTTAAAGTATTTTTCATTCAGCAAATACTAAAAAGACAAATGCCCTTTTACAGTTGAATGCTTTATATAATCCCAAAGTCAAGCCAAATTAGCAAAAATGTAATAAATATGTATGTTGTTAGAAATACATTAAAACTTCTTATTTAGATTATTTTCTTTGTATTATAATAAAATTCTTTGATACTTCAGAACTAAATTCTGAATGAGGTTGGGTTTAAAGATGGATTTGCTTTCTGTCAAATGTTATTGTACGGTTCTAATGTAATGTTGTATACATGTTAAAATAATCATTTTAATTCCAAATCATTTAGAAAAGTGCTTTGTGTGTGTGTGTTTTTTTTAAAGGTGCTTCATCTTATGAATAAAATGAACTTGCCCACACCTTTTGGACCAATTACTGCCCGACCTCCCATGGTAAGAATATATTTCTGCTATTTATAATCTTAAATATTTTTATATTACCGTACTTAGAGCAAGGATCAACAACTCCTTTTCTCTTGAGAGTATCTGTTGAAGTTAATTAATGCTAAAAGACCTAAGATTTTAAAAAGCTGAAAAAGAATGAAAAGAATAAAAGTAAATGAAAGATGATATGCTAATAAGTTTATAAAGAAAAGCAAGAGAGAAAAAAAACAGTAGATTTCATCAATGGTAACTAACTCATTGGTTGCCTCTCTTGGTATTTAATAAGTACTGTTGTACTGTATATGAATACCTAAAGAGTTCATTATTCTCATTTTGAGATTGCTTTGTTGTAGACAGTTTTATTTCTCAAAGATGTTTAGGGCAGTTGTTAAAATACCATTTCATATGTAAGTAGATAATTATCATGTAACAAGCTGTATCATAGAATTATATATTTAAAGCTAGAAGAGACCTTAAATGTTGTCTAGTCCAATCTCCTAATTTTATAGTTAAGAAAACTGAGGCTCAGAGTAGTTAAATAACTTGGTCATACAAATAAAAAGTTGTAGACCTAGGAGTTGAAACCATATGCTCTGATTTCAAGCCCATCTTTTAGTTTTAAGAATTTTGGGAATTTTTTTCTTTGAAGCCATTCTTCTGTAGACAAGACAACAAGTTTTAGTTATTAAGCTCTAAATAGAAGAAAATTTTCATAAAGAAAATAGCTACTTTTTTTCACTACAGAACACTTCTGAGTTCTGTTGCATTTGTACTTTTGAGATAAGCTTGGATTTTCAAAGGTGGTGCTTATAGAACACAACCTCTGGTACTTTTTAACAACTCAGAAAGGTTGGGTCCAGTGATGGATCTTAAGGATCAGTCTGACTTTATTTAGTAAAACTTGTCACCGTAGCTTGCATTGGTGGTGCATTTTTTGAGTCTGGCAACTTTCAAAGATGTAGTAAGTTTTAGAATTAACGCAGTCTTCAGTGGTGAAAGAATAAGTACTGACACTGGGTCAGATTTGGGTTAGGGAACATCATAATGTCTGAAAATTCAGAACAGGAGATGGCCAAAAAAAACCAAAAACCCTCAAGCAGTATTACCTCAAAAAAACATTACAAATTAACAGAGGGGAAAATGAGACCATAAAAATCTTATTGTGAGATCTAATCCAGATCATTCCAGCAGGATTTAGGCATGAAATTGGAAAGACAGCAATGATGGGAAAATGAGTTAGCTTTGGAGCGAGAGGACTTGCATTTGAACTACATCTCTGACAACCACCCATGTTAACTCATAATCTCCATGGACCTTAGTTTCATTGATAAAGTTTTCAAATAAAGATACCTTTTATGATTCGTCTCCCACTCAGTTTTTAAAGTATTATTAATTTTTAAGGCTACTGAGAAGATACTAGCAACTACCAAACTGTATGCTTACTTTATCTCTAAAACAATATGAGAATGATCTGTATGAGTACTTAGTGAAACTATGGGAAAAGAATAAGCTTTTGCAGTCAGTTTTACAGACTATATTTTCAGTCACACAACAGATTCAAAGATTCTGTCTCCTGTAGTGTTTTGCAAATTAGTCTAACTTGGTAAGACTCTTGGCTACTATATATCTGTTGAGAATGGAGATTAAGGGTTTACTGACTGAGTCTTTTGTCTCCTCTTTTACCCTTATAGTTGTGATGACTGTTGTGGAACAATTTACTTCTCTAAGAAGTAGTAATGATTAGTCAGTATCTTTATATTTATTCATTTCCCGTTTTGCAGAGTTTAACTAGTTTGATTATAATCAACCTTTTATAGTTGTGTGCAGTAATATCTTCTCATCTTTATCCTTCTAATTTGTTATTGATTTTACTTTTGCTCTTTTTGTTTGATTACTGAACACTGTTGATTTAGAAATGACTCTTAAGTCAGTACCAATTTATTTTCTGTCATAATATAAACACTTTGACTTTTTTGCATCCATCTCCAGGACTTTCAGACTATTTTTGATGGAAATAGTAATGATTATAGGATCATATATTTAGAGCTGGAAAAAAACCTTAGAGGTCCAGCCTCTAGTTCTTTAGTACAACTCTGTCATGTTACAGACAGGACACTAAGATCAAGAAAGGTTATTTGCCCAAGACTGTAAAAGTAGTAATCCAGAATAGGAACCCGGGTCCCCTTATTCTAAATCCAGCATTCTTTCCACATCATTGCTGAGTAATCTACAAACCTTTGATCTCTTTCATTTTAATCTCAAGCTGTATTTTCCCCATCATCTGAACCCATTTGCCTATTAAAGTTAACAGTTATCATTTTTCTACTTTTTCATCCCTTGCAGCTATATGTGTGTGATGATTCCCTTGTCAACATTTATCATGAGCGCTAGAGACAAGATGACTGTGTCAGTAATTGATATTTCTTATTATCTTTTGGCACATGATGAAACCTAACTTCACCTAGTCTGTTTGCTTCTACAAGTAGAACTTTTCAAATATACTTTTCTTGAGCTTGCAAATTATCTGTATCTTTTGGTTTCATTTATAGTCAGAATGTCAGTATTGTTGCGTATCTTGATTAGTGTGAATAATGAATCCCCTAAAGTAGTCCCATGTATTTGAATTCATACTCTTTGATGTTGTAATTATGCAAACTGTGGTAATTGTTTCCAGTGTAGTGGAAATATGCAATATGAATTCAAATAATAGGACCACTTCAGGGGATTCGAATATTCAAACTAATCCAGGACCTAGTTGCTCTTCCTCTAGTGACATATCAGCTACTTGATTACTGAACAGAGTTTTCACATTGAGCATTCCAGCAATTAATTGATCTTTATATATCACCTAAAAACACTTCTTTGGACATTTTACTCTCTTTTCCACTACTTTGCCACTGTATTAAAGAAATAATTTGAGGATTGACTTCCTTAATACTGAAGACTGTTTTCTGTTTTTCGTTGTTTTTTGGGTTACTCTGGTCAGAAAGAGTATGAACTAGTTGACAGTCTATTGGTGATTAGTGTCTTTGTACTTATCTAGGTTGATCCTTGGACAGCAGGAATGTACTCAAAGTCTTTCCATCTTGATAGAATCTTCCAGAGCTTACATCATGCTAGTATGGTCTGTGAGAACATAGGGCCATTTCCACATCAAGATGAGCCATTAGTATAGGACTTTTGCAGGAAATTGTTAGACATAGTTCATAAAGAAATCCATGTCTTTTCTAGTTGAATTTATAATTTGCATGTTATTACATACAGTACTTACTGGTTCTTTTGGTTAGTATGAAGAGTATATGCCAGTGCATGCGCCTCTTCCCCCTGTACCTCCTTTGCCACCTGAAGAGCCTCCTGTGCCAGAAGAAGGTGAAGGATCTAGTGGAGAAGAATCAGAATATGAAAGTGGTGATGATGAAGCCCGTGAGAGGTTTGTAATAAATAAGTTTTAGTTATGAGAAATGTGAAATAGGTGATTGTTTTTCCTTTCAGATTTTTACTTGGTTTATAAGAACATGTCGTTAATTGGGAATGGTGGGATCATTCAGTCAGTAAGTTTTTATTAAGCTCTTACTCAGTGCCAGGCACTGTGCTAAGTGCTGACAATACAGAGAAAGACAAAAGCAGTACCTGCCCTCAAGGGACTTATATTCTAATGAAGAAACAACATAAAAATAGTTAAGTACATACAAAAAATATACATAGTGGGGAAAAAAAAAGGTGCTATCCAAAATGAAGGCACCAGAAGCTGAGGGGGCTCAGTGAAAGTGAAAGGCCTGCAGAATATAGGATTTGAGCTGAGTCTTAAAAGAAGCAGTGGAAATCATGAAGTAGAGATAGAACATTCCCAGTGGGGAATATAACCAGTGCGTGTATATGGAGATTGGAGGTGGAGTACCATGTGTGAATAACTAAAAGTAATCCAGAGTAGTTGGAACATGAGGTATCTGGAGGGGAGAAAAGTATAAGAGGACTAGAAAGTTAGGAAGGTATTGTGTTGCAAAGGACCAATTAAAATTAAGTATATTAAATCTTGACTATAGATTTGAAAGTCAAGAAAGAGTGTGGTGGAAGCGCAAAATTTATGGAGATGATAGGGAATGAGATGTAGGGTACAAAAAGAGTAGTTGGTCTTGTTAGGGAGAAGGACCCATTCTTTCTCTGAGATTAGCACAAATGCAGAGTGAATAGAGAAAGATGAGCATTAGAGATTCAGTGCTACCAGGAGCAGCTAAGGCTGGTATATTGCTTGAGTTAAGGAATTCTAAGCTGCAGTGGGACTAAAGCCAGTGGAGTGGCCATACTAAGTCTTTTACCAATATGGTGATCCTCTGGGAATGGAGAGCCTTTTAGGCTGCCTGAGGAGGGACAAATTGGTTTAGATTAGGAACAGAGCAAGCCAAAACTCCTGTGCCCATCATTTGGGGTGGGCCTTTGAGTGTCCACTGCACTTGTAACCTCAGTGAGATATGGAGACCCAGTCTGCAAAAAAAATTGGTAAGCAGAAGCTTCTGGCAAAGCCTCAGTTTTCCTGTTAAAATAAATGTCTAAGTTCTCTGTTAAGAAGGAGTGGTTGTGTAGGTGGCTTAAGAACAGGAAGTTTGGAACTGACGCTGGGGAGCACAATTTGGAACCAATATAGGAAAAGTAAAAGGAATTTAATGTAGTAAGGTTCCAGTTGTGATTAGCAAACGTTTTCTAGCAGATAAAGTCATGACACATCAAGTTATTTAACTTTCCTCCATTGTTTTTGGCAGTTTGTAAGTAGGACTAGAGAAAGCATATGTGGGAATAATCTAAGGTTGGAGTTTACAAAAGGATAGGACAAGGGATTCAAGGATAAATAGACCCTAAGGTTCAGCTAGTTTTAACTAAAACACACTTAAATCTTAGTATTTTAGATTTTGATATTTAAAAGTATCAAAATTAACAGTTGAATGGGAACAAATGGGGCAAACTGATAAAAGCAGCAAGGAATGTTGTTATACCAGTTATGATCCAAGGTATGGATAGTGGGGTCAGTCAAAGCATAGAAGGTCATTTAAAGTAGGGAAAGATAGGTGAGTACTTAGATTCCAGGAAAGGAAATGAATTTGGGTTAGAGAGTAGCATAAGAGTAGTATCTGCTTAAGCAGATGGCTCCCATGGACTATAATTAGACAGACTTGAAATAGGGTCAGAACAGAAAGGGATCAGGTCGCTAGAGTAGTGAGAGTCTGGGATCTAGGTCTGGAGTGACTGAATAGAAAGAATTAAAACACAGTTTTGTGGAGAGACTAATAATTAGGAGAGCTTTAGACATTAGTTATTAGGAACCAACAGCAAAAATGACTGTAGTATGGAAATTGTTTACTGACTTCCGGTATACTACTCTTCTTTCCTCAGTGAGTTCAGTGTCTGGCTTATGGTCTTTCTTTTCTCCCCACCTTCTGACCTCATACAAGGAAATTTCAACATAAGTATTGAACCCCCTGAAACAGCCTAACCTCCTAGTTTTTTCGGCTTACTCATTTCCTGTGACCTAGTCCTCTACCCCACCCCAGTTACACACAGATAGTCATGTCCTTGGTATTGCCATTACCCATGTATGCACCACTTCCATCTTGAAGTCTAAAATTCCCTTATCTGTTCATAATCTGTGGTCATTTCCCCAAACCACATTCTTTGTCTTCACCATAACCATTAATCCCTCAGTTTTGTTTGTTTGTTTTTTCCCTGGGCCACTAAATACTGGCTCCACTGATTTCTTTTCCTCATTTTGACCTTTTAATGAATTATTCCAACTCTATACTCTTCACTCTAGTACCTTGCCCTCTTATCAAATGACTTGTCAAGCCCCCAGCCTTGGATTGATTACTCTTACCCATCCTTTGCCTTTGTTCCTATTCAAGTGCCACTGAATGAAGCTAAAGAAGATCTTAGGTCTCTTTTCCTTGGAACAGGTGGGTTGTGCAGTGTATAGAGCACCGGCCCTGGAGTCAGGAGGACCTGAGTTCAAGTGTGGTCTGAGACCGGACACTCGACACTTAGTAGCTGTGTGACTCTGGGCAGGTCACTTAACCTCAATTGCCTCAACCCCCCAAAAAAAAGAAAATCATAAAACTATATTGGCTGGATCCAGTATGAATATATTACATAATCTTAACAGCAAAGCTGTTCTTTTATATCTCCCTAATTGATTCACTGTCCTGCTCTCCACAGAGGCTTTTCCAAACCTTTTCATCCCTCAGACTTTCCCCATCCCACTTACTTAGCTGAGAACTTTGCCTATATTTCACTGGAAAAATTGAGGGCATTCCCTTAAAGCTCCCTCTTCTCCCTTTTTCCTTATTTCATATCACTCAGATGCTTTCTTCCACTGTCAGCTCCTTCACAACCCTATCTCACATAATGAGGCAGCCTTTCTTACCAAAGCAAACTCCTCTGCATGCACATAATCCCACTCCATTCTATTTTATCTAGCAAATTATTCCCTCTTGTCATTCCCCCACTGCCTCACTTATCTTCAATCTCTCCGCTTGTATTGATACCCATCTCTACCCCATCCTCAAAAAACCCTTGCTTGATCAGTCCATTCCTGCTAGCTGTCATGTCATTTGTTATTCCAAATTTCTCCATTTTGTGACCAAATTTGAGAAGGCCATCTGTAATCAATGTCCACTTGCTTTCTTCTCATTCTTAACCTTCTACAGTCTGGCTTTCAGTTTTGCTTAACCCTAAATTGCCTTTTCCAAAGTTATCATTGATAAACTAATTCCCAAATCACATGACCTTTTCTCAGTCTTCATTCTTGATCTGTCTGCTACCTTTGACACTGGCAGTCACCCTCTTCTTGATATTCTTTTCTCTCTTTCTGTGACTATATCCTGATTTTCCTTTTTGTCTGAGCTAGCCCCCTCAGTCTCTTTTATTGAATCTTTGTCCAGGTCATACCTGTCTAGAGTGATAGTTAGCCAGGACTCTTATCATGTGTCCTATTCTCTTCTCTGTCTGTACTGTTTCACTTAGTTCATTGTATTTTTCATTCATTAGCTCCCATGGATTTCATTATCATTTTTTTGCTGATCGTACTTAGATCTACTTATCCTGCCCTAATCTTTCATCAAACGTCTAGATTTGTATCTCTAGGCATCTATTCCACATCTCAAACTGGATGTTCCATACGCAAAATGTTCAAAAATGAATTCATCTTTCCCTACAAAACTCTCCCCTTCCAAGCTGTCTTGTTGCTGTGGAGAGTGCACTATCTTTCCAGTCACCTGAGCTTATAACCTAGGTGTTATCCTTGCCTCTTCACTGTCATCCATCGTATTCAATCTGTTGCCAAATCTTTTAGATTTTAACTACTTTAGATTTCTCATATATGTCTCCTTCTCTGACATTGTCAACATCCTGATGTGGGTCTTCATCACCTTATTCCTGGATTATTGCAATAATCTACTGGTTGGTCTCCCTACTGCAGTCCATCTTCCACCCATTTGTCAAATTGTTCTTTCTAAAGTACAGATTTGAGCGTGTCGTCACTACCCCAATCAAAAAATCTCAGTACCTCCCTATCACCTCCAGGATCAAATATAAAAGCCTATGTTTGGTGTGTAGAACCCTTTATAATCTGGTCCCTTCTTACCTCTCCAGTCTTATGTCTTACTCACCCACACATACTCTGCAATCCAGGGATAATGACCTTCTTGCTATTTGTTGTCTTCTGACTTTAGGCATTTTCACTGTTTAGTCCCCTATGCTTTCCTTCTTCATCTCTATCTCTTATAGCTTCGCTGGCTTCCTTCAAGACCTAGTTAAAAACCCCCCCTCTGCAAAGAGCTTTTCCTAATCTCTATTTATGCTTGCTTTCCCTCAGCTGATTATCTCCAGTCTTATCGTATTTATGTGTATATGTTTGTGTGTGTGTGTGTGTGTGTGTGTGTGTGTGTATAGAAAGTTAGAGAGAGAATGAGTGTGTTTGTATCTTGTTGTTTTCATGTCGTCTCCCAGTTTAGACTGAAAGCTGGAGAGCAGGGACTGCCTTTCTTTGTGCACTTAATACTGTTCTTGGCATGTAGTAGACTGATTGATAGAAGTATTTGATTGAAGCCATTGGAAAAAAAATGATTAGAATTTCTTTTGAAGTTGTAGGAAAATTAATTATGCTTTTTTTATAGTATGCATAGTTTTTAGTTGGGATTTTCTTAAAAACTTTATCTTGAAAGAACAGTTTAAAGCATTTTATAAATGACAACATGTAGATAAGTCCTAGATAAGGAAGATATATTATTTTCTAATTTAGGATGACAAAACTGATGGAATTAGCTAATTTTCAACCCAAAAGACCAGCAACTGCAAAGCAACGCCGTGTAAGAAAAAGGCAAAAGATAAAGGACATGTTGAATATGCCTGCATCTGCTTCACATGGGTAATTTCAAGGGTTTCTAATTTTTTTATTGGGTTTTTTTTTTGTTTCCAATTCAGACTTGTGATTTGATGTCTTTATAGATTACAAAGTAGCATAATGAAATATGAGTTGTGTCTTCTGAACTTGAAAGAAATAGCTATGGCCTTGTTTTGTAGAGAAATTTCATTAAAATTGGTTAAAATAAACTGTGATATCGCACTTTAGATTTTTCATTGTGTTGATAATAGAATTTGATTTAGAAATCTTTAGGTTTCAAAGTAATTTTTTTTTCAATTCTTGAGGCTTTTTTTTTTAAAGTGAAGACATTTGAAAAGTTGTTCTTTTTTTTTCCACACCTTCATTGTCCTATTATTTCATATATCATTATCATCTAAGACTTCTTATTTTGTTAGGTTAATTCATCCAAAAGTTATATTTAAATGTTTTGATTTTCCTTTAGTCAGATTTCCCCCTGAAGGATTAAGTAACCAGAAGGTTTGAGAAATACTTACTGGTCAAGAAAAGTCTTGATAATCCTGTTTTCAAGAATATAACTTTATTTTGCTTGATTAAAGTTATTCTGTTGTCATGTTTTATATTGCTGTCTTTGAAATTCTGCCACAATTTTTCATTCCCCTTAAGTATAAATAATATGAGAACTTATTTCACCTTCATAGTGCTCATTTTAAAATACCCAAAATAAGTACATTCTGATCTTAATTAAAATAATAGCAGAAATCAATGCGGAGACTTTTTGGATGGCGTGATCCTATATCACTAATTGGAAGAGTTGCTTTTCTCCACTTCGGTAAGACTAACTTGGTGTTATTTTTAAACAGTAATTTACACCCTGCGCTATTGCCTTCGGATGTATTTGAGCAGCCACAACCTGTAGAGCATAAAAAAATAGAATTCAACATATCTTCTGGGATACCTGCTGCATTTGTAAAAGATTTAGAGGGAGAACAAAATAGTGGTAAGGAGATTTTACAGTTCTTTTATATAATACCTTGCAAAATCAAGACACGTTTCTTTTTACCATGTTTTATTTAGTAAAAATAAAATGTGTGTATACATACATCTCTATCTTAATGTTTTATGATACTTAAGATGTATTTTATATGCCTAATTTGGTATTTTTCATTAAACTATATAATATAACTTTATATCAGACCTAGAGATTTATTTGAATGCTAATATTCTCAAGCCACCTAAAGCTAACATTTAGTCTTAGATATCTAGGTCACAGACTCAAAATATTGTAAACCTGTAAGAATTTTTTTTTCACAGTTACTGTTGCTCTGTTTCCCTCCATCCTATTCCCCCTGCCCCAATTTATTCTTTTCTCTCTCTCTTCTTTCACCCTGTCTGTCCTCAAAAGTTTTTTGCTTCTGACTACCCCTTCCCCTAATCTGCCCTGCCTTCTATCACTTCACCCCCTTTTCTTATCCCTTTCCCCTTCTATCTTCCTGTAGGGTAAGAAAGATTTCTGTACACCATAGCCTGTGTATTGTATTCCCTCTTTGAGCTAATTCTGATGAGAGTGAGGTTCACTCACTCCTCTTCCCCTCCATTTTAAAAGCTGTTTCTTGCCCCTTTTTTGTGAGATACTTTACACCGTTCTACCTCTCCCTTTCTCCTTCTCCCAGTACGTCCTCTCTTACCCTTTAATTTTATTTTTTAAATATCATCCCTTCTGTTTCAACTCGCATCTATGCCCTCTGTCTGTATATGCTCCTTTAACTACCCTAATAATGAGAAAGGGTCTTATGAGTTACAAATATCATCTTTTCATGTAGGAATATAAACAGTTTAATCTTATTAAGTCCCTTATGATTTACCTTTCTTGTTCACCTTTTTAGGATTCTCTTGAATCTTGTATTTGAAAGTCAGATTTTCTATTCAGCTCTCGTCTTTTCATGAAGAATGCTTGAAAGTCCTCTGTCTCTTTGAATGTCCATTTTTCCCCCTGAAGAACATTAGATGTATTCTAACTCATTCATTTTATAGAAAGGGTGGAGGTCTAGAAATATTAAATGATTTACCAGATTTATATAACTTTTATCAGTGATAAATCTAGAACTAGAATTTAGGTTGATAATGGTACCATATACTTTTCCTCTTAAAACTTGAAATTTTTCTAAATTAGGCATTTATATGAATAATGTTAATATTAAACTACTTTAGATTTGTCTGCTCCTGGAGATACAGCCAATGAAGGATTTGGAAAAATCTTTCCAACTCCCATTCTGAATGACAAAGAGGAGATTCAAGAAGACTCAGATGACATACCAGCAGAATTTGTCTCCAGAAAAGAGTTGGAAAAAGGCAGAATTTCTAAAGAGGGTAATTATTTGGTCTACCATAAAATATTATTGCCTGTTTTTTTATTTTGATGGTGATAAAGCTCTTTACATTGTTAAAAGTGAACAGTTGAACTCATTGGTGCAAATCAGTAATCACCAAATCCCTCATTTTAGGGAGTAGTGATGTTCTTAAATTTTAATACGTTATATACATAATTATACTGGGAATTTTTTACAAAAACAGTTGACTTGCTAATTATCTTAACCTTCTTTCATAAAGCATTTCATTTAACAGCATCTTTTAATCACTATTGGCTCAATTTGAGTTAGTTCTAGAAGAATCAGCAACAAACAAACAGTAATTAAACTTCATAGTATTTTCTGCAGTTTATTTAATAACAGTTAACGTTTACACAGCAATTACTAGGTGCCAGACACTGTGCTTTTACAGTTATTATCTCATTTTATTCTCACCATAACCCTGGAAAGTAGGTGCTGTTATTATCTGCATTGTACATATGAGGAAACTGAGGCAAACAGTTTAAATGACTTGCTGAGGGTCACACAGCTCTGAGGTTAGATTTGAACTCAGGTTTTCCTGACTCCAGGCCTAGCACTCTATCCATATACACCTAGTTTCTATCCAGTATATGTTTTCCAACTGAATATTGGATGCTTTAGGTTATTTGGAATTGGTTCTCTTTATTACTTGTTACGTTCATTTTTTGAAATTGGTTAAAACATTGTAATTTCCCCTTTTCTTTTTTATTCATTGCTGTAAGAAATGGAAACACTTTCAGTTTTCAAAAGTTATGAACCAGGAGATCCAAACTGTAGGATTTATGTAAAGAACTTAGCAAAGCAAGTTGAAGAAAATGTAAGTATAATTCCCTAAATTGATCTTTAAAAAAATTATTTTTTGGCCTCCTTATGATTTTTTTTTTCCTTTTTGATGAAATTCTAGGATCTTAAGTTTATTTTTGGAAGATATGTTGACTTTTCATCACAAACAGAACGAATCATGTAAGTCATCTCAAGCAAAGTTTTGCATCTCCTTTATCCTCATTTCTTCCCTAATATTTTCCCTCTAAAACAAAGTGAGTAAGGATTGCATAACAAACAATAAGCCATGGAGAACATGATCTCTTACTACCAAAAGCAACTTTCTTTCAGCTTAGAATTATACCCCCAACAACTTTCAGAATTAGTGCCGTAGTTAATTGCAATCTAGATTTAGCATTCTCTTATTTCTTTAGCAGTCCCTTTTGGCTTAGCAGAAGATTGTTTTTAAGCACAATGTCTTTGTTAAGAAAAATGATTTGTAAATTTTTGAAACATGGTATATGGAAGATTTCCTTTGAAGTATAAAATTAGTTCAATGAAAGAAGCGTTCAAGTGGACAGTAGCCCCACATTCTAACTTTTGGAGTATTAGGAAGGCAGAAGTAAGGAATAGGAAGTAATAAAACACACTTAAGGAGAAATTGTTGAGATCAGGGAGTATTTGCTCTATTCTTCCAACTTGACCTTTTTATTTCATCTGCACTGGAGAACACAAAGTATATCCTGCTTTGAGAAATCTATTCTAACACCAACAATTTCTTTTCAAAGAAGGGGAAAAAAGATTATATTACTTAAGAAAAAGCATAATCCTTTGTAATACTGAAAAGAGGAAATAAGGGAGAAGAATCTACAAGCAGATGTTATGTACTCAGCTAACTTATTATTAAAATTTGATTTTTATACTGCTCATTAGTTTCAGAAGTGGTTTCGTGCCAATATAGGTAGTTTTAAATGCTCCTTTGCTATCAAAGTACATGGTGCCAACCTCTTTACTTCATTACTGTCCTTGAAACAGTATTGAAGGCCAGCTTTCTTAACAGTAATATAAACGTGTATTACTTCCAGTTCCCATGAGCTTAACTTTTCAGGAAGAATAAGAGATTCTGAATGCACAGTGCTATCTGTAAGGCACCTGCAGTGCTAAGTTTTTGCGTCTGTATACCAAGTTATTACGGTTCAGTTTTTTACTATTTTCCAGTATCCTATACTTCTCAGTGAATTTAACATTATCATTTTGAAAATAAGACATTGGTTCTGCAAGGGAACCAGCTTATGATATTGGGAAAGGAATATTGATTGCCTAATTAGTGAACCTGTTTCTTCAGTTGTTTAATAAGAAGACTAAGTCTGTAAGATCTCATACAGTAGTTTTATGGCTTTTATCTTCTTTTAAGAAATTCAGTATCCCTTCTTGCCTTGGGTGTTGGGTTGTTTCCTATCTTGATCAGAGTGAACTAAGCCCATTTACTTCAATAATGGGAAACTGCGAAAATGGAACAAAGCATTTGCAACATGTGCATTCCATTTTAGTTACTATTTCTTTTATAGCTACCAAAGTTTCAAATGTATTCCTAATTTTTAAAAAAAATCTAATAAATTTAGATTAGTTATCTTTAAAGACCTTTTTTTGGAACAGAATGTAAATACATGGTTTTAGATAGTGAACTAATGGGGTGGCTGGGTGATAACAGAATCTTTCCCATGTATTTGTTAGTGGAACAATTTAGTTAATATTAATTAGAAACAAAACTTCTTTCTTCATAAATTTTTCTAGGTTTGACATACGCTTGATGAAAGAAGGTCGCATGAAAGGCCAAGCTTTTATTGGATTTCCTGATGAAAAGGCTGCAGCTAAAGCTTTAAAAGAAGCTAATGGATATGTACTTTTTGGAAAACCCATGGTGGTGGTATCCTTTTTAAAGTTGTATATGTTTTGTTGTTTAGGCACCAATTTGTGTAGTTAAATCTAATATAGTCCAAAATGCATGGTCAGAAGACACTGTGTAGTTATATTTGTGGTACCCTTTTATAGGATAAAAGTGGGGAAAAAAGTAATATTGCTGTTTAAGATTTATTTTTTAAGAAAAGTGACATCTGGTGTGTATAGTAAGGATAATGTCAGACCAGTCATTTAAAAGAGAGAGATTAGTTTTATGGGTGACCAGACTCTTAATCTAGGTGTCATTTGTGTGGTAAATATAACCAATAAGTATCATTTATTCCCTGGATATGCTAGGTCAGGGGTGGGGAATCTGTAGCCTCAAGGCCACGTTTGACCCACTAGGGCCTCAAGCGTAGCCCTTTGACTGAATCCAAACTTCATAGAACATATCCTTTTTAACAGTTTAACAAATCAAATCCTTTTAACATTTTAACAAATCTGTGAAGTATGGAATTTGCCACCCCTGTGCTAGGTTATAGAACTAATATTGTCTTCTACAATACAGTAGGAACCACTAGGATCACTCAGTCAAAACTATATTAAATTCTCAGTATGTGCCAGGCATTGTGCTAAGTGCTGAGGATACAAAGAAAGGTAAAGCAGTCCCTGCCCTGGTTCACATGATAACTGGAGACACAGTATGTCAGTAACAGCTTCAAAATGCTTTCCGTTACATTTGTTCCTGATGACAGGATAAACTGGAAGAATTTTAGGCCTTATTTTATTGAATTAGTGTAGTTCTGTCTTGGAGCATGCCTAAATGCTGGCAACAGCCATTGAAATACTGTGCATAAAGCTTGCATTTTCCTTCCCTTCCTTAGTCCTTACATCTTTGGCAAAAGGAGAATTGATGTAGAAGTGAAATAAATATTCCTTAAAACTGACAGGGTAATTTCGCAGAAAGTATTATGTGTAGCATTATCTTTCAGCAGCTAATTCAGCTGTTAAAATGTGTATGTGTTAGAGTTGGAAAAGTCATAAACAGAAAATGAGGAACTATCATAATTCTACAAACTACTGCTTCTTAAGTCAACACTTCCTAAGATTGTGGGATTTAGAGCTTGAAGGGACTTTAGGTGTCTGTCATTAAGTCCAGGCCTTGGACTAATACTAATGATACTAATCCAAGGATGTTGTATATCATGGACCTCTTCTCAGAATAGTGTTTTTAAATATACATTAAAGTAAAATTATCAAGATAGTAAATCAGCTTGATGGACCTCAGGTTAAAAACAACTAATCTAGTCTATCCCTTATATTTTTTATGTGACAAAACAGGCCAGAGGAGGTCAAATAACTTGTCTAAGGTCGCCACAGTTGCTAAGTGACAATCAAGATTTGAACCCAGGCCATCCTACATCCTACTTTTCTCCAAGCTAAATGTCCCCAGTCCCTTCAATTGATCCTCCTATGGTATATGGTATAATTTGATTTGCAAAAAAAAAAAAAGTTGGCATGAGAGAGCAGGGAATAAATAAAATTTGTAAAGGGTAGTAGGAAGAAACAACCTTACTCTAATACAGGGTTGTTGTTGCTAGGATTTTACAAGAACTGGGTGAATGGATAGTCCAAAGAACTTAGAACTTATGTCATTTGCAAATGTAACTTTCGTTTTTTCCCCCAAGAAATCCTTAATATATTATTAGCAATTTGCTCGATCTGCTAGACCAAAACAAGATGCTAAAGATGGAAAAAGGAAAAGATAGATAAATGGTTAAGGTAAGTGTGTACTTTTATGTAACAAAGGTAAATCATCATTCTTTAAGGGAAAATGAAGAGAATATTCATGTTAGAGTAGTAATTAAAATATCTCGAGTGTTTAAAGACCTTTTTTGTGGGGAATGGGAAAAAGGAGAACTGTTGCTATTGGTTTTGAAATAATTATAGAATCACATATGAAAACATGTTTTCATGGGAAAAGATTCAAAAACAAATTTTAGAATGAAGAGCTCTTGCAAATTGTTTGTCTACATAGTGACAAGTTAAGATCTCATGTGGTAGCCCAATAGAAAGCTAAAATTCACTGAGTCTAGTAGTTAAGACATCATGAAAAATACAGTTGCATAAGTCATGTATGGAAAATAATTTTCAACATTTCACAAAATGAAAGGCATAATTTAGGGATTGATAAAATATTTTGCATATGTCAAGCTTATACTTCATGGTACTTTTGTCTGTGTTTAGTAAAATAAGAACAAAAATGGTTTATTAAAGACTTAGAAAAATTACGTGCTTAATAAAATTACCTGCATTAAGCATTTTTAGTTAGAAAATTTGTTTCAGTGGTCTCCTTGAGCTTTCTGTGGGAAAGAATAATATTAGAAGTATTAACACTGAATTGAAATATAGTCCTTTTGTTTGTTTTTAAAAACAAAGCAAAGCACCAACTCTGCCTTTGTGGATTGAAGAGGAGACTAAATGATGGGCCAAAATGTCCCAAGCTTTCAACTGAAAAAAATGAAAAATTGTAACATTGCCTAATAGTCACTCAGTAAAATGCCTTGAACATTTGTATTTCATTACTATCCCAATTTTGTTGTAATCTGAAGATTTTCGAATACCCTAGAGTGAAGGGATTAAGCTTTTATCAGTCAAAACATATTCATTTATGATAGAATATCAAATCTTTGTAAATCTGCTGAAAAATAAGGAAAATTAAATTACATTCTGCTGTTCTTCTTTAGAAGCATTCCTGCGTAAATACTGCAGTAATACTGTCATGCAAAGTGTATCCTTTCTTGTTGTATCCTTTTTGGGGCAGTGCTTTTCTGTAGAAATTTTTTTTTCCCTAATGTAGATTGGAGATTAACTTTTCATTCTAGAAATAACATTTTCAAAATTGTTTGATGTTAGGTTGAAGAAAATTTGATGTGCCTTCTATATTTGTTTAAATTTGTCTATAATGTGCTTTATTTTAAGAAAATTCATTCCAAGGAAAGTTAGTGAATCAGGTCATTAAATTTACTAAAGAGATGCTGACAGTTGCTTTAACTCAGAATTTGATCTTAGCTCTTTACATTTATCTTTGTCCTGAAATATAATTTTTGTAATTTATGGAGTTGGTGGTTTTAAAATACCTGCTTTGGGTCTTTTTATATTTTTGTGCAGTGTTGTATAGGAAATATATCAGTACTGCTTGGATGGGAATAGTCTTTAAAAGATACTATAGAAAATCTAAACAGAAGTTGATTTCTAAAGATTGTCTTTTTATTGGCTTTCCAAGTGACATAAGTACCAGATGACAGTCTTGCTGTTCAGCACCTCAAATCCAGGGTATTAAATTTTTTTAAAGCCCTACTGAAGTAGGCAGCAAGTAGAATCACCCATTATTAGGGCAAGAGACAATTGGAAACACCAAAGTCTTCCATAGTGGATACATAGTTGAAAGAAATAACATAGTTAGTCTGCTTATGTCGATTAATGGTGGCAACCACTGTGTGACTGCCAAAGCAAAGTGTATAACAACTTAACGGTTTCCAAGACACTTCATCTCACCACTTCAACCTCTTAAAAATTGGTCAGATAGAAGGTGTGTGATCCTTCCTTGTACCCAGAGTCTGGCACAAAGTATGCTTTAATAAAATGCACGTTGATTTGAATGGCAAAGTGTATTATTGTACACAGTGCTTAATAAATGTTTATTGAGTAAAGACCCACTTTTTTCCATCATCAACCTCTTGAAAACATCATTAATGCTCATATCAAACCAAACTTTTTCATCTGATAACTTCATAACTTCCAGAAAGTCTAGATTGTAGTTAATTAGTTGTCATTGACACTTGTATATGTAGTGAAACAAGACCAATAGAGTAAATTGAATTCATGATATTTGTTTACATTGCTTTATGGAAACCTTAAAATATTTAATTGTGTTTCTTTGATTCAATTTTGGTTCACATAAACTATGATTACCTATAAAAATCAAATTATACAGTCAAATTGACATGATTCACTAATTTTCTAAATACTGAAATTTTAGCTTTCTAATACATTTATAATATATAAAAATATATTTCTACTAAAATAATTTTCATTTTTGATGGGCTTTTATGGTGTTTTAGGTTCCTTTTGAATTCCATATCTTTCAAGCATTCTCCAGCTTTGAGAAGAAGAAACTTGAACACCTGGACTCTTGAATTGTGCGTAATAGCTTTAAGAATATATTTAAAAACTAAATGAAATGCATTTAAGTCTTATTGGAAGATATGCAGCAGATTTGTTTTAGTCAGCTTTCTATTCCTCCAATAAATTATTTTCTTTCCAAGTAATTAAGTGTATTGTAATCATTGGAAAGAGCTACTCATGTATAGTCCTAACTTAATCATAAGTGGTGTACGGTTAGAATTGTTTTGAAATTCCAAATGTAAGGTTTTTTTTTAAACTGAATTGTCAACATTTATTATTATAGGGAAATCACATTATAGAAATTCCTTCTACCAATGCAGATTAGCACCAGCTCTACAACTTGTAGCCTTAGAGAGTTTCCTGGGAGAAGCTAAATTGTAAATGGTTTGCTCAGAATCACATAGCCATTTTGTGTCAGAATCAAGACTTGAACCCAGATCTTCTGACTCTAAAGTCAGATCTCTTTTATTCTATATTTTCCCATTTGTCATTTTTACATGGTTGGTAAAAAACTTAGTTACATATTTAAAGAAAAAAAATAACCTATTAGAGCTTTTTCACAAACTCTTATTTCGGGTTGGGAATTTGAACACTTACCTGAATGGTATGTTGAGTTTCCTTCCTGTACTGCTTAATTTCAACCAAATTTCACTGCCGTGTAAAATTTTCACTCACTGTTTTTCCAGTTATCTTTTGAAAAGTTAAAGGAAGTTGTATGAACAAAAGGTCTAAGAATGGTACTACTACGGGAATGATGATAAACAAATTTATGTGTAAGTACATAAGAGTGAATAGTAGTAAAAAAGGAATAGTGGTAAATAGAGCCCCAAAATAGACATGAGGATAGGAAAGGCTGTGAGGGAGAAGACACAAAAGATATTGAGATCCTTGGGGCTACTATTTGATGTCCCATTAGAGAAATAAGGAGTAGCAGGTTGGGGATAACAATGAGTTTGCTATTGGATGTGTTGAGGCTGAGGTCCCAGTTTGACATCCAGGTAAAGATGTCTTGTAATAGCCTTTAATTCTCTGGAACTGGAATGCAGGAGTAATGGCATGTCCTTTGTGAACAAGTGTAGTAGGGAATATCCTGTAATGTCCCACACCAACAAATTTTTTTTGGAAAAGTGTTAGTTAAGATTCTCAGTGGAATGTTGGGAAACTAGATTATATAGAAACGAATGCAAAGACCCTTTTTATAAGTGCTTTTTCTAAGAGAAATGAGAGTCTGTCAGAACAAGTTATATTTTCAACTGTTAGAAAATTCCCTTGTTTGCAGATAACAGGCTGTTCAGGATGGTGAAATATTATGGTAACAGTGATAAGCTATAGAAAATCCTTTGACTAGGTAGGCAAAAAGTTTGGGCCAGTGAGTGAGTGCAGATATAAATCTGGAATGTGCATTACATACGTAAGAGACAGTAGATTGGAGGATTTAAGAGAGGATAATAGTGAAGTTACCTCTCTTAAGTTTTATCAAAATTAATTATTTGAAATCATGTCAGAAAAATTCAGTGGCCAGAAGTAAATAAAGAGCATAGATTTCAAGTTGTAATGACCTCAGAATTTTTGCCAATAAGGAAACTGAGGCACAGGCAAATTAGTTGATTTGCCCAGAGGCACTGAGCTAATGTCTAAAGCAGAGTTTGAACTTCGATCTTCCTGATTTTGTAGTACAAGAGAGAAAATTTTTATTTTTGTATTTCAACTAGGTCTTCACTGTTCAGTAGCAAAATATTTATTCCCTACAGTGTCTGTTTGATTCATCTTCTTAATCCTTCCATTCCAAGTCCTCTGTCTCCTTTTTCTCAGAGTACCTTGCCTACTGTTGAGAAAATAAAGGATATTCACGAGTGCCTCTTCTTCCCTCCTTCCTACCTCAAAACACATCATTTCTGGAGTACTTTTCTCCACTTTTGTTCTTGATTCCATATTCGGTCTCCTCTGGGAATTTGTTTTCTAGTTCATCCCTCCTTGCCCCCTTTTTTGGGGGTATATCTAGAATCAAAAAGACAGGGACCACAGGCAAAGGCTTAATTCCTCCTGAGTTTGGACCTGAAATACCAGGCCTGGAACTAAAAGGATAGGCAGAAGCCCCTTTTCCTATCCTGTTTCTCTTGTACTTCATTTTAATTATTCACCTCTATTCTACTGCTCAGTCCCTCATCTGCTGCCCTCCTTTTCCATTGTGGCTTATGGAACCCTTACTCTATTGTTACCTAACTCCCCTTCAAAGTTGGAGTTCTTATAATTCCTCATTTTCTTATTGCTAAAAGGAAATTGCCATCTCCTGAGAAATCATACCATCTCCAGTGCTAATTGCCAATTCACTCATCCCCTGCTACTCTAGGCTAAGAGAAATAATTGGTGTACTCCTTTCTTCTCTCTGCTACTTCCAGACCCTCCACCTGCTACCATTGCTCAGCAAACTCCCCTGGGGATCACTCTAGCTGTCCATATCATCCACTCCATATCTTTGCTGCTACCAGTTTCTTTCCTTTAAATATAAGTATGGTACCTAAGTCATTCTTTTTCTCCAACCCAATCCCTGCACTGGGAGATGAATGTATAATATATTTATGCCTTTTGAAGTACATTGGCATTTGAGATCATCTATTTCCTGAACTCCTACAGCTTCTCTCTACCCCTTACCTTCTAAACTGCAACTTATCTCTTCCCTTAGGTACCCTTAGGGATGGATGATCATATATACCCTTAGATTTCATTATCACCCATAACTGTTCCTCCATGGTCCTTTGTGAAATTTTGAAAATCCTTTTTCTGATTAAAATCTCCTTTAATTGGTCAAAAGTAAACAGGATAGAAGTTTTTGTAAAAGATGAAAGACAATTTTGATTACAACAAAGTTTCATAGGAATAAAACCAATGCATATTGAATAATAAGGGAAACTTTTAAATGTGAAAAATTTTGCATTGAATATAACCAGTAAAGTTTGGGCAAATCACTTAACATCTTAGGATCATAGGCAATTTTTTTAAGAGTAGAAGGTGCTGACTTGCATTAGAAATTTGCTTCACCAAGCAGTTCCCTATACCAGTGAAATTACAAGACCAGTCCCTATTCCTGTATATGACGAAAAGGCATTCCCTAATAGAGAACCCATCAAAGGATATGAATAAGATTTTCAAAGGAGCCCAAAGCTATCACAGCCATTTGAAAAAAATAGAGATGGGGGGAGACACTGGGAAAATGTCACAGTTTTTGACTGTTGGTGGATCTATAAACTCATTCACCCATTTTGTTGTATAACAATTTGGACTACTACAGGGAAAAAAATCAGTTTACCCCTTTGACCTAGCAATCTTAACTTGACAAAGACCAAAAGGAGGTAAAAAAAAAAAGTTCCACATATACCAAAATATTTGTAGAAAGCAGGACTACAAAAAGTGGATGGTCGTCAGATAGAGAAGACTGAACATCTTGTGATATATGAATGTAATGGAATCATTCTATTGTAAAAAATGATGAATATAAGGATTTTCAGAGAAGCATGAGAAATCTTGTAGGAACTGATGTGGAGTGAAATAGAATTAAGAAGAGTAAACACAAGAATTACAATAATGCTAAAAGGTAGCCAAAGTGGGACCAAACTTGATTCCCATAGAACAGATAATGAAACCTGCCTTGAAATTTTTATGGGGGAAGCAGGATTTTTATGAGAGGAGACTTCAGGATTTGCGTACTTTGTCATCTGATTTTATGCTAGTAGTTGTTTTTCCTTTAATTTATACTAGCAGTTTTCATTCATTACAAAAGTAGGTTCAGTTTTGGAGAGCAGGGGTGAAATAGGGACATAACCAGAAATGACTCATAAAAAAAAAGGTACAAATAAAACATTAAAAAAAGTTTGTTGCATGGAACTGTTCAACAAATATTAAAACACCTGGTGTATAGAATTAAACAAATTTAATATTAATCAATATTAATTTATTATCATTAATAATTATTAATTGAAAATTAATATAAATAAAATTAAAACACCTACTGTCCTATATGTAATGAGAGAACTAGAGTTCTTGGTCCTAGTAACAGAATGTTATGAAGTGTATAAGGTAGAAAAATGTGTCCTTTTCTTGCCATAATCTGTTAGAAAGAGCTGGGTAAACTTATGCGTACTACAGTTCATTTCATAAAATCTAATTTGTGGTTATCACCTTTCACAAAATGTTTATAAGGATGTGTTTGTTCTTTAGGAGTTTTGGAACTGCCATCCTTTATGAATGTAATGAATTGACATTGCTTATTAGAAAATGTGTATATGTGTCTTGGGAATGGAGGTCCACTGGAATGTCTAGTTACAATAGTGAATGAATGAATGAATGATTGAATGAAGCATTTATTAAGCTATTAGCTATGTGCAAAGCACTGAGTTTACAAATAGAAAAATGAGAAGTCCCTACTGTTAAGGAGCTCACATTCTAATTAGGCAGATAACATGGAAGACTTCAGTTTCAAATGTAAAAGTCTCGTGGTTCTTAGAATGCAGTAGCAAAATAGATGGTGATATCCTTTCTTAATGTATTACCACTGATAAAATCATATCAGTTTTTGATGTTTAACCATTTGACAGTGACATTG